TAATTATTATGAGAAAAGGTTTGGTGTTAGATTTTCTGAGAGCACTTTTAACCTTCAGCAACAGAAATTTAACTAGCTACACATTTCAACATATATATACATGGAATACAGAGGCAACTTACGTATTTTATGTGATAAGGAAGTCTCAGAATAAGGTGTTCGATCATAACTGCATTTAGCATATGTTTCCCCACGTTTATAGTCGCCTGCAGGAACCATTGATTACTATATATATATATATATTAAGTTGTGAATTGGGAGAAATATTCGACCATAAGTGTGATATTCTAGTGGATTATTATAAATTAATCTGAACTGGCTAAATACATCGAAACTCTGTAATTGATTACTAGAGCTTCCAGTTCAAATGATAAGGGAACAAGAGAGAAAACAAATTAAAACGAAATTAATCATTACACTATAATTTAAGAACAAAAAAAGTATGCAGAGTGATGAAAAGCCTTGCCGTTTGCATCTGAACAACAATTTTGTCAGGACTGTTGGGTATTCCATGATCCAAATATGCCTGAAGATTATTTACACCGGAAAAAATATTGCAGCAAATTAGTTCAGATAAAATTTCAAAGGTTCCACGATAAAAAAATAAAAAAAATAAAAAAACCACAATATTCATGCGAACGAAAATAAATTCTAAGGTGGCTTACATTCATAATGCAGGAATTGTATATGTTAATCCAGAATGCAAGCTTCTGTTGATGGCTTAGACCATCTAACCTCACAGACGATAGCTTGTCTAAAAGAACCCTGAATTTCGAATGCGGAAAAAAGTTGGATGAAAAATAAAATACAGTAACAAAACCAAATAATATAAAGGGTTAATACTAACAAAAATAACAATGAACATAAGTGTATATAGAAATGAGGAATTTACTTAAGCCTCTGGATCAAAAAGGATGCATTTGTTTTCCGTTTAAGATCAATCGAACCAGCTTCTATTACATACAGATTTTTGTAAGTTCCAATGTCTCTCGTTTTGGACTCGGACAAAGTGCAATACGGATCCCGAAAGTTCAATTCCTCATTAGATGCTTTTGCTGCGAAAGATGAAAAGGATTCCAAATCAACAGTCTTCCTTTTTGACGAGCTCAATCTCACGAAGATGTTGATGAGGCAATTCAAGATATCCTCGGACAATTTATTCGCCTCATATTCAGCATCAACAATTCTATCCAAAGAACCCAAAGAGGTCTCTTGTGCTTGCTCTACATTTCTACACTGTACAAAATTTATTATCACATTTGGAATTATCATTTTTTTTGTGAGAAATGTTATAATGATCCTTTGGTCTAAAAAGATCCACTTTTTATCAAAGATTTCTCATAAAGGTAGTCATTATGTTAAATAGAGTATATAATTAATCAAAGGCCCCATTGAGTAGAGTCATTGAATAAAAATAATAAATAATTTAGACTTAATTCTACAAGAGTGAAAATTTCCATAACAGGGGTACTAACAATAACAATAACAACAAGAACAAGTCACAAGTCAACAAAAACAACAACTTGTAGAACTTTCAACCCAAATTAAACTTCAGCATAGTTATTGGCAAATAAACACTATTATAACTTGTTCATGAAGCAAAAGTTCCATCTCAAATTAGTCACAGACCATGATATTATCCTGATTATTAACTAATTATTGCTTCAACTACAATAAAAATCACTCCTTACTAAGAGAGGATGTGTTTTCAAGTAAAAAAAAAAAAAAAANGTAAAAAAAAAAAAAAAAAAGAGTACCTTCATTTTTCGAGAGTTCACACTCTTGAAAGTACTTTTTGTTTCCAACGATTTATTTCGGTGGTTTGGTTTACTATCTTTGCAAGAATCGACATATGTCTCGGGCACATGCTCGGAAAACATGATCCTCTTAATCGAAGCAACTCTCGAAAGAGAAGGGGAAAGCGAACGGCGAGGCCTCGTTTGGAGTGATCCAAAAGTGACCTCACTTTGAGATGAGGATCTCCAGTGACCCCGTTTGTAGCTTCCAATAGATAGCTCCTTATTCGAAGGTGGAGTCGAATTTTCTGCACTCTTTCTGGAGGATATATAAGCAGCTTCTTGGTACAAACCTTGTCTGAAATTCGCAATCTGCTTTTCGAGAAGTACAACTTCCTCTTCTAAGACTGCCACCTCAGCCAGAAGCTCAAGTGTCTACAATCACATTCCAACAAACAGAGAATTACATAGGTGTACTAAAAATTCATGGGAGAAAAGTCTTATGGGAATTTTAACAAACAGTTTGTAAGCACCTTATATGTCACCACTCAAAAAAGTGAAAAAAAATGGTTATTATCTGCCATTTTTCCATTGTTAAGATTTAAGCTTACGTATTTAGGGAGATAAGGAGGGAGACGAGGTAGAGCTCCTAAGGGTCTATTGAAAGCTCTTTCCAAAGCTCTGTGCACATTCTCTTCGTGTCTCAGTTTCTTCTTTAGATTATCAACCTGAAATTTTTCAACAGAACGGTNNATCATCAAAACAGAACTTGAAAGTAGTGAAGAAAATTAAGATTACATCTCTTAGTAAGGCCAACTTTCGATCTCTTGCTGACCGGCGCCTGTTGGCCATTGTTTTCTCTGCAGTTGCTGATTTTGTTGCCAGGGGTTCCATCTTTTTCCTCTGCCAGTAATATTAATATGAACTAAATAATAGCTAAGCTCACTTGCACATAAATGAGAAAAAAACAGATAGATTCATTTCTTGAGTATGCAAAAAAGGGGCGCCCAACACAGATTTTGCAATAAAGGAACCAACTTTTTGCAGAGCTGAATGACACTTCAAAAGATTCTAAAACTATCCTTAATTCTTGAAAAAAGGAAAAATAAAAATATATAAAATGATCAAGAATAAGATTGTAACTTTGTTAACAAGGGCCCTAACAGTTTTCAGTGACTAATCTAAAAAGAGAAAACTTGAAATAAAATACAATATTACCCACATTTCCATGAGGATGCAAAGGTGCTGCTTTTCTTGGATTGATATTGATATTGTTATTGCCAATCCTTTTATTCATCTGTCCTTAATTTTTCTATGAACACCATCAGGATATGCTGCACATCATTTATTCTAAATTTTCCATCAGCAAAAAATGTGAAAGAGAACAAAGCTCTTCTCAAGCTAAAAATGACATCCACTACATAAATGGTTAAGTGTAAGCTGTACAAAACCAGAAACATAAATTAAATAAAAAATGAAAAATAAAATAAAATAAAAGTGACCCGTCATTAAAGAATCGTTTTTTTAATTTTTTTTATTTTCTTTTACTTGGACATAATAAAGAGCGGGAAAAATTAGCTGAAAGGTGAAATCACTTTAAATTGGAGCATTTTATAGGTTAAGTGTCTGAAAAAAGCATAGAGCAAGGTATCTTTTTTTCGTGGCTTGTGGGTGAAATTATATAATAAAGGCAACAAAATCAATGTTTTTTTATTACACTGCAGATTATAGTAACAAATAAAAATAGATGGGATAAAGAGTTAGTTAAGGAAACAGGGGAAAAGAAGGTCCAGGTTTTATGAAGGATGTGAACAATAATAAATGGACCGTAATAAATAAGTACAATTTGAGCCCAAAAACAAGAGACGGTTTTTATAACAAGTAGTAACATAACCATTTACAGATCAATTGTTACCAGGAGTTATAATTTTCAAGATATTTATACTTCCCTACTAAAATATCATAACCAATTAACCATCATGTTGAGCAATATTATATTAGTTGTTTTTATGATTAAAATTAAAAAGTTCTTTGATANGAATCTCTTTAGAATAACTGTGGAAAAATATTGCTGCTTAAAGTAGACTCTTAGACAAGGACATTTATGAATAAAAAATAATGATTAATAATATTATTATGATTAACTTAATACTAATAAAGTACTAAATAAGCCAGCACGTGAGGATACCTCATGCTGGCATTTAGGGCGTATTTCTTTTAGTGGTAAAATATATTTTTTATGATTTTTTTTACAGCTTTTTATTATTTTTTAATTAACTTATGATGTAATAATTATGTGGCATGGTAGGGTTCATACAAAAAACCCTATTTGAGATTTTCTTTAGCAAGAGTGCCTAAAGAGTAATACACTTTCAAGTACAATACAATATGTGGGATCAGATCATTCAATTTCCCGACAGACATATAAATGAAGACAATTCAGATATATATATACAAACAAAATCAGAATTTACAGTCTTTGTGCGAACAATAATTGTTTTCCATATTCATTTTCTGCCATAACTATTAGCTTTTATTATTTAGCAACAAAAACAAAAAAAAATAAAAAAAATGGCACTTTGATTTTTCTTTAATTTTCAGGAAACTCACCATCACGCAAAATCGAATTTGAAAGAAGAATTTATAGAAAATAATAATAATGATGAATGCGGCTATATGGACTTAAAATAATAGTTTTAAAACCCGGACTGGGGACTCAGATTACAAGTCTAATTGTTGTGTCCCAGCATCAATTATTGAATTGGACAACTAATTTTATAAAATTTTAAATTGTATTTATATTATTGTTATCTTATAGCTATACATAAAATATAACAAAATAAATTATTTATATGTAAATTTTATGCCTCAAATTGTATTATATTTGGTCATAAATATTTATCACATAAATATATATATATATACATGATTTTATTTTTAAAAATAAAAGGTAAAATAAAATAAATAAAACAAATATTTATTGGTGGAGTCAAACTGAGTTGACCGGCCGGATCAATATCAGGGTTGACTGGGTCAAGACCGAGTTGACCGGGTCCCTTGCTACCGGAGGAGCGGCGGGTCGAGTTTCAAAACACTGTTGAAAATGCAGAGCTGGCTAAATATTTTTCTTTTTAATTGAAATGTCTTTTTAATTGAAATGAGTAATAGCCGATTGCACGGTCAACTCAACACTGTATTTTGTAGAAACAATATCATAAACCGATTAATTGCATATAGTCCGATAGCTCCGTTTAGTGAAATTGTATATGCTTTCGTTAAATAAAAATAAAAATAAAAATAATAATAATTAGGAAAGTGAGATTACTTAAAAAGATTAAAAACATTGTGGGATTCAAGAATAAAATCATTAAGTGATAATTAGAATCATACAAGTGAATCAATAGTAAGAAAACATAATATAAGTGGCATAGTGCAATTTTTAAGAGTTTTTTCTCAAATAATATGTAAGTTGAATTTTTCTTTAATGAGTATGACTAAAACCCAAAGGTTTCAATAAATCACGTATTTATAAGATAAAAGCATAAAGCCCAGGACATAAAATGCATGTTACAGCCAAGCAAAAAAACGATTGAAGTGTTACCTTAGTCGAGTCCCTTTCTAACCTGCAAAAATTTTATGGCCATCTTTTGTGGGGATGAAAGAAAGACAAATGGGACCAAAAAGAAGTCAAAAGTTATGGTCCCCAAAAAATCACAAGATCATTGTAAAATGCTAGCCATTTTCCATCCTCAAGCACGACTAGGGCTGCAAACGAGTCGAGCCAAGCATCGACTTTATCGAGCAAGATTGATTTTTTTTTTTTTACATGTTCAAGCTCGAGCTCGTCGAGCTCGATTTATGACGCTCGAAATCGACTCGACAAAAGGCGACAATCGCTGAAGCTCAGCTCGAGATCGATTGAAATCAAAATGTTTGACAGATTGTTCGAGCTCGGCTAGAGTTCGAATCGAATTCCACGTAAATTTACCATTAAAAACATATATAAAATATTATAATAGTTATATATAAGGGGTATTTTAGTAATCCGCTATATATCTCGAGTTGCTCGAGAGCCGCTCGACATTCCAAAACCTATGCTCGAGATCGATTAAACTCGAACTCAAGTTGGTTTGCAACCGTAGGCACAGCTAGGGCTGGTATTTTTTGACCGAAAATTGGACCGGACCGAACCGAACCGAACCGAACTGAATTGATGAGAAAATAAATCGAACTGAACCGACTCATGTGTAACAGTAACCGATTACCGAATTGTTATCGGTTCGGTATCTGTCCGAACCCATTAAGGTTCGGTTTTTACCGAACCGATAAGAATGTAAAAAGAAAAATTAAAATACTTGATAGATTAGGCTTTTGAATATGTATTAGTTAAATAAAATAATAAATTAAGTTAATAGACAACTAATCTAAATGTTTTAATTTAATTGGTCTTAAATCTTAATTAGTTAAAAGAAAAAAGTGACGGGTCATTAGGATTTAGGGGCTGAGGGCTGGGAGTGGGGGACCTGGGAAAAAAAAAGTGACGGATCATGTGTTTTTGTAGTGTTGCTGCTTAAGCGTGCTGCTGCTNTCACTTTCTTAAGTCTGTTGCTGCTGTTGTTCTTTATAATATTTTTTCCTTTTTTTCGGTTTAAAGTGAAATCAAACTGGAAACTATGGGCATTTGATGTGCGTATAAAGTCGATAAAAATCCAAAGCCACCTTTCTTTCCTCACAGCTACATGCATGTGATAAAAGTACAAGAAGAAAACAGAGAATGATGGATGTGTCTCAATAGACTTTTGTTCTAGCAAAAATTGTAATGCCTAGATGAATGATGCAAGTGTAACAACACATGATTAGTAAACAACATACAGTGGAAAATTTACAGGAAATGTAAAAAAAGCTTATGAATCAGCAAGAAATAAAAGCAACTGCAAAGAATTAAAATAGAAGTCAGAAATCATAAATTTGCATCAGCTCAACTTCATTTTTGGAATATCTGAATTAGTTGTAGACCAAAACCCACAAGCCTAAGATCATTCCAGCTTTTCATTTGAAGAGTACAGTAAAAATAAGCCAAAGGCTTCTATAAAATACAATTTAGCATGGTTGAGTAGAAGCCTTAGTGGACATAATTAATTATGAATCATAACTGGAATATAGGATTAATTATGACTCCTGGCATTAGTGTTTAAGTTTAGTGGTCTTAAACCAGTGATCTCTGTTTTTTATTATGTCATTTTTATCAACAACTATATACAAAACCAAACTCTGAAAAAAAAAAAACTGCACAGAAATTTTATCGAGTAGTACTTAATTAATTATTCATTACCCTTCAAATCAGAAATCACAGATTGCAGCAGAGTGTTGTTCATAATGAGGGTTTGTGGGCCCCTTACAAAGAAGCTATCAGAATCATTTTCAGCTGAAGACGAAGAAGAAGGTTTACTCGATACTTCTCTCGACTGGTAAGCCAAATGATGCCCAAACAGATGATTCCCCCATATATCATAAGTATAATTCTGTTCTTCCTCACATTCAACTTTTTTCCGGCTTTGCAGTTTTGCCCCTGGAGCCCGAGAGTGAGGAGCAATTGGGGAGTTCGAAGAAGCTGCAGAAGGTACAACAACAGTTGCAGAAGGTACAACAACAGCTGCAGAAGGTACAACAGCTGCTTTGCTAGCCACTTTCCTCGTCAAAACCGACTTCTCATGCGCGAAATCTTTGTCAAGTTTGGATTTTGAAGAAACTTCAGTATTATCCACAAGCTTATTGACCTTAGACAAATTTTCAGGGCCTTTACTTCTCTGAGAAAACGGGTTTTTAGCCTCGATAACCGGGTTTTCGCCTTTTCTTTTCGGTGTTGATGTGCATGCGCCTGTTGGTGACAAAGGAGATGAAGGGGTAGAATTGCCACTTTGACTGCTCGAGGCTTCGGAAAGTAGTACAGCTAAACCCGAGCTTTTCTTTTTCCTCCGTGATCTTTTTCCTTTCTCCTTTCCAACTCTAACCCTCAGATCACCACACGGCTCGATTATTTTGTGCTCTGTATCCAAATTCAAAACCGATGAAGGACTCGAAATCTCAGAAGATGGATCACAACATTCCAAGAGCAATGCCTCTTCACTGGAAACTGATTTCGCGATTTTCCAATTATGACTTACATTCAATGAATTCCACTTTGCAGAAGCCGTATTATTATTCATGTGGGGAAATAATAGCGAAACTATGAAATATATTAAAGAAGCCGCGAAAATCAACACGACAATGGCTTTCTTGACCCGCATCCAAAATATCGATCTTCGACAGAAATCGATCGAGCATGTGGGTACAATACTTGCTTCCATAGGTACCACTAAGATGCCAGCTGTCGACACCAGTTCAAGATCTCTTTTTACTGTTGCTGAAGTGAAATCAGAACTGTAAGATATGTGAAGCTTTGCTTGTTCGCCAGGTTGAAGAGAAAAGCCAGCACAATTATGTACAACAAACCCATCCAATCCACATTCTGCTCCCGAGACTTTGATTCGAACAACTTCGAGAGGAATATCTCCCGTATTCTTGGCAAATACCTCTTTTGTCATGGACTGTGAACAATAAGAAGTTTTTAACGTCTCTGGAAAAGAAAAATTCAGCTTACTCGACAAATTCGACTTAAATTCTAAACTCTGCACGGGATAATCATGCCCTTCATGGAGTACTAACGAAAGAGAGCCTCCAAAGGCTTGCAGAGATAACCACTCTACACCAGAGAGATTATTTCGAATTAGAGCCGAGCTTTTCCATTCACATCTATTGGAAGGTTGAAAAATGATGGGGCCAAGAGTAGCAACACCGTACGGATGAATAAAAGCTTCAGTCGATGAATCTTTGGCTATCGAAAAACCGTACTTTGTAGGGCCAATAGTATTATTATTACCCACCAAAGTATTGGAAGAAGATGGCTGTAGAAGTATCTCGGGTATTCTGCAATTGTTGATGACTTCCACAGAGTTTAGAATGAGCTGCATCACGATTGGTTTTTGGGTCGGGTTTTTTACGGTTATCCATTGAGAAGAATAATTTCCGACCAGAACCACTGGAAAGAGTATGTCTTTCTTATCGAGAATAGAGAGTGAGCTCACGGTAGATTGAGATTTCCAGTTCTTCAGTATCAGTTCATCTGATTCTCTGGTGTTCTCTACCTTCACATAAGAAAAAGTGAACAAAAAAGTATGATTATTTTTATCGATAATCAATTCAAAAGATAACGAGAAGATAAACTCACAGATACAAGAATATAACATAAAGACGATAAAAGCCACACTTTCTGGTGATTGATCATTTTTTTGGTTCTTTTTGGATATATCACATCGAAAATTTTATTGTTCATTGCATTGACCATAAAAAGTTCATACATTTTAACTGAGGTATGAAGAACTAAACCATAAAGGATACTTTTATTGCTAAACAGATCAAAAACCCACCTTAACAAAGATCATGACACACAAACAACAACAACAACAACAACAACAAAACAACAACAACAATATATATATATATATATACATAAAGGCATAATCTCACATACCTTGACACTAGAATGCGGCAACAACCCACTGCTGAAGAATCTCTCCCCGCCATTAACATAATCAACATTAATCCTCTGAGTATATCCAACAGACGATTCTAACAGACACCCAGAACAAACACCAATCACATCGCTGCACGGGATTTCCATCCGAGAAAAACTCGTGTCATTGACCAGTACAGTTATTTTGCAGCTTGGGTCAACTTCACGAGTTTCCATATTAGCATAATGAACAAAAGCAACTTGTGTGGTGGCGTTGGGGAAGAGAATAATTCCTTCAAGAGATTTAATTTCGAAACTTGCTTTACTCTCCCCATCTTGATTCACCTTGGTAAGCCTCAATGAATACGGGGCATCATTTCTAAGAGACAAGGCAACACGAGCTGACTTGCTAGTATTGCATTTGCATGGAGCTAAGGTCTCAAGAGATAATGAAACAAGACCTGTAGTTTTTAAAGCAGTCTTTTCGAGACTCATTTCTACCTCAAGAGGTACCACTACAGTTTCAATCTCACTGTTTGGAGTCCTCAGCAGCTTCATACAGAGAGCCCCAACAATTTTCCCTTCAAAAAAATGGCCAGAAATATCTAATTCCACAAAAGTCTCTGTTTTTTTAGGACCAATCACCCAATTTTCACGAGGCCTCAATGCAATTAATGGTTTACCATCTCCACCACCTCTTTCTACAGCCAACCAGTCTTTAGCATTCAAGACATTATAGTCACTCGAATAATCTCTGTGATGAGCACGGCAAATAGATTTTGACAATCGAGAGGTATTATTATTTCCTGATGAAATGGATATCCAAGCAGTTAACTCCTCCACATGAAGTGTTTCATCAAGAGAGTTGAACAAAGATAAACTCTTTCTCCGCCGACTACCAGGGGAAATGTCGAGACTACCCTCAGAATGTATCTGATAAGGGGACTCTACAGAAAAGCCTTTCCCCTGAATCAAAAACCCACCTAAACTCGTCTGTATGATTAGTTTTGCTGAGGCTAATCCCAGACGTGTGGGGAGAAAAACGAAACATATCGATGCATTTTCCCCTGGAGCCAACAATAAATCACTCGAATCGCATGGATAAAATTGGGGGTCACTACTAGAAGGATCATAGATTCTCAAAACATTATTTTTATCTAAATTCGTCACATTTAAATAGGCTAAGGAGGAATGGTACATATTCCTATGCCCCCAATTAAGCACCGAAGGGTTTATTTCCACAGGTGGTGTGGACAAGCCATCTTCGAAGCTAAATGAAGACCCATTGGTATCAATCGTTTTGTCCAATAGAGGGTTAACACAAGAAGAAACATCAGTCCTTAGGCCATTTCTTGAGATGGATTCACCAGATGATAACTCAGGAAAACCATCTTCTTGGTATGAATAACAAGAAACTTTTCTCCCACACAAGAACCTAAAGTTGCCTTGGTAAGGTAACTCATTCAGATTACGTTTCCCCTTTAACACAGATGAAAAACCTTCAGATTGAAGCTCAGATGCATCTAATTCCTCCAATTCAGCACCAATTTCGTCATCTTCAAACACAGACAGTGTTGATGGGAAACAAAATAAATCGGAAGGATGACATAAATTCTGTGAATAATGTTGCCTAACTGGATTTCTTAACACTGATGCTGAACCTACATAACCATCAGCCACACCTTGAGAGTCAAAATTTCGGCACCCCTCGAATTTGCACTGATTTTGCACTTCTTTTACTGCACAAGGCTCGCATACGGCCAGAATGAAAACAGCAGACAAGAAAACCACCAGAAAGCAAACATCCTTAGCAGAGGAAAAGAGCCCCCTGAAAAAAATGCAAACAAAGGAGCTGAATCAGGATGAAATTCTACACGAGCCCTTCAAGTAATAAAATAGGATGACAGAACAATAATCAATACCAAATATTGATCATTTGATAAAGAAAGCAAGCAATCTGAAAAAAATATTCCAAAATCTTCAGAATTGGAAAAAAATTCATCAACAAAAACTACAAAAGAATAAAATAGAGAGACAATAACCACTTGCGGACAAAAGCAATTGCTTTACATTAACTTCTCACAGCTTAAACAACCCATTACTAAGTAAAGGTGGGTTCTTTAAAGGAAAGAAAATAATAGCAGAAAAACGTCAAAGATTTTCCCATGAAGACAGCCCCGTATAGTGGCACCGTTGTTACTTCAAATATGACAAAAAATTAAAGTAGCATCAAAGTAAAATTGAGCAAAACCCACTTCATGATAGCATGCCACAGTCAGAAGTGAAGTTAAGTAAAACGTTTTGAAATCAAATACACACACTCAGAACAGAACGTTACAGAGAGTGATTGGAAAAACACTCCATATGCTCTGCGCAAAAAAAAAAAAAAAAAGAAAATCAAGAAAAGAAAACCCATCAGTAGCACAAACCCTTTTGCTCTTTTTCAAGCGTTGTAAGGAAAAAAATGACGGCGGCAAAATGAGAACGGGTTATTACCGGTGATAGAACATGTGGCTAAGCTGCTTTTTGTGAGCCTTGATCATTAGGGTTTTAGAAGCCATTGTCAGAGCATAAGACAACCATCTACTTCATGCATTAGGATTTTCCTGATTGCCTCAGGGATTTGTGGAAACTTTTTAGGGCTTTGGATTTAAGCCCAAATTATTCATTTTTTTGTACAGAAATAAAGAGCACACACCTGATAAACAACGAATGAATGACCTCGGACGACGAAAGAGCAAACAAAAAAATAAGATAAAATAAAATAACCCTTTCAAGTCAAGTTACCTTTATGCCCATGTCCATGCGTATCATAATTTTGACTTATTGTGATTTGTGTTGACTAATTTTACTTATTAACATTAGAAGTTAAGAGAAAAGAGAGGAAAAATTTTCCCATTCTATATAATTTCATAATGCGCTGAGCCTTAAACTTTCATGATTCGGAATCCTGGTAAAAAATCATGTTTTGGAGTTAGATTTAGATATAAATTGATATTTGTATTAATTGTATTTTAATATCATTTACTATTATAACCATTGAATTGCAAATATATTTTAAAAGTTGATAACTTTTGTATTTTTTATCAGTTTACATATATAATATATCAAATTAATTATCTTTTGATGAGCTTCGATTTGACATCCATATTGTATATATAAAATAAATAAATTATATTTATCTTTATAATAATAATATTATTTATTAAAATTAATTAGAAAATAAAATTATTTATTAATTAATATATTTATGTTTAATGTAGTTATATATTATAAGGTAGAAAATTTATTATAATATAACACATATAAGTCGCTTAAGTAACATGTGTCATACTAAAATATATAATAATATATACTCCCTCATATTTTTATTATTTGTCACTTTGGCTTAATTGATCATTGATATAAATGTCGTTTTAGATATTTTATTCATATTTTTCTATTTTTAACCCTTCATCTAATACACAGCGTCTCTTCATATCCCATCCCATAACATCCATTAAATAGGGTTAATATTGTCAAGAAAAAAAAATATTAATTAGGGTGTTGCATTTGAATTGATATTAAGAAGTCTATTTGTATTTTACTATTTATTTATATATAAATATAAAAAAATACAAAAGAGTAATATATATCCTTATAAATAAAATTTAAATTTATTTATCAAACTAAATTAAATTTTATCAATTAATATATTTATGTTTAATGTAGTTATATGTTATAAGGTAGAAAATTTATTATAATATAACACATATAAGTCGCACAAGTAACATGTGTCATACTAAAATATATAATAATATATACTCCCTCATATTTTTATTATTTGTCACTTTGGCTTAATTGATCATTGATAAAATAAATATCGTTTTAGATATTTTATTCATATTTTTTCATTTTTAACCCTCCATCTAATACACGGTGTCTCTTCATATCCCATCCCATAACATCTATTAAATAGGATTAATATTGTCAAGAAAAAAAATCTTAATTAGTGTGTTGCATTTGAATTGATATTATGAAGTCCGTTTGTATTTTACTATTTATTTATATATTATAAAAATTACAAAACAGTAATATATATCCTTATAAATAAAATTTAAATTTATTTATCAAAATAAATTAAATTATATCAAATAAAATTATAAATTATATTATAAAGTAATAGAAATTGGTATGTATTCTTTTAAAAATAATATTTATTTCAAATCCAATTGGTATGTTGTCAATGTAATAAAAATAAATAATTATTTATATAAATTCTAAAATTACATATAAAGTTAAAAAACTTTGAAGCACAATTGATACGGCACTTGATGTATTAGGCATCTAATTAAGTAAAAAACTTAATATATATTGCTTAATATTAAACAAACATATTTTACACTTATGCATATACATATCACCATATTATTTCTATTTATTTAAGATATATATTTTTATACTTATGTAATAGTAAATAATATCGATATTTTTATATGATATAAGTAAAAAAATTCAACACGGGTGACATTTTCATTTAATGTACGGGTGTTTAATTATTATGATTAAAAAAAATATAATTTGACAATTGAATTAAAATTAAAAGTAATGTTTTATATAAAATTAAATTATTTAGTTTTTTAAAAAATAAAAAATTTAATATTTTTTATAAAAGCTTTCTAATTCAACGGCCGTGTAATACACAGGTATTGTGCTAGTTAACCTTTATAGCCATTGCCAATAGGTCCAATAGCATGAGACAATACGGTTCTTTTGCTTTTATTTAGGTCAAAATGTTGTACTAGCAACAATCTTTTTCTTTGATTTAAAATTTCCAATAAAATATGATTTAAAAACAAAAGTAGACATTAAATCAAAAGGTTAAAAGTAGTTCATGTTCTCCCTTGATATATATGTGGCGTATGGAATTGGAGTAATTTCAATTTCTTCAAAGTAATTAAGAATCTAAAATTATAAAACCTGCAAGACGAATTCGCTTCATTTTACGCTAACTGGTTGTTGCATCTTGTCTTTAAAAGATACAACAACTCTGTCTTATAATCTTTATCACATCAAACTTTCGGGCTATGGCAAACTTAAATAAAGCAAGAATGGTGCACAAATATGCATGTGAGCATGAGGTTTTATGAGTTGCAAGAGTACATATGAACTATGATGTGTGTTATGTGTACTTCCACACATCATATTTGGACAACTAATACCATATAATGGATTACTAATAGCTATTGTAATGAACATGAACAGTCGGGTGTTAAAGTTGTCGTTTTCAGGTGTTAAAAACACCAATTATTTCACTTGGAACTATCGAAATTTACGGGTAAATTCAAAATGTCTAGTTTCAATTAACTTGTTGAAGGACACCAAATCGAAGTCAATTTTAAATTTAATCTAGTCTAGAAATTTGTATTATAAGGGTGGGATCAATTTCAAAGTTTAATATTATTTTAAATTGTCCATGTTTATCCCGTAGTCCAATTATTATCTTAGACTAAAAGTCCAAGTCCCAACGCTCGTGTTGACATGGTGGGTGTGCGTGTCTGGCCAAATCAACACCTACACATGGTGTATAACTTTAGTTAGAGCATCTCTAATTCATTCTTTTGAAAGAGTAAAAAGTTATCCACCTCATCTAGATAGAAAGTGTGTGAATAATTTATCTCTTTTGAAAGAGTAAAAAGTTATCCACCTCATCTAGATAGAAAGTGTGTGAATAATTTATCCCCCAATGCGTTAGATTATGGGTCCTTTCATGCTTATGTGTAAAAAATTAATGTTAATATTGTCAAGCTCACTTTCTAATTTCTCACATTCTTTCTAACATAATGACTCAGCATTTTGATAATTATTTGACACAAATTTTGAGCTTTTCATAAACTTGGAAAAATCCCACCCTTACATTTATCCAAGAAAACATTTGAGAATTTATTTGAATGCAGTATAATTATTTGATGAGTTACAACTAAAATTTAAAAAACTTATCAATAATAATGTCTTGAAAAGTATGTTCATGATATTTGTTTGTTGAGTTATTGCAATTTTAATATTTTGTTGTTTTATTTTGAACCGATTAAAAAAATATTTATTGTGTGGTTATACATATTGTAACTGAGAAGTTATTGAATAAATAATAATTTTATAAATTTGATGATATAAATAAAATTTAACCGAATCAACAAAAAATAACATCATGCATATACTTATTGGAATTTGTGGTTTTTTTCTAATATACTCTTTGATTTTATTAATAATTGAATAAATCCACATATACAAATTGTATGGTTGTTGAATGGATGCATTGGAGACAACAATTCAAATGAAAGTCCCATTCTTTTAACATTCAGTTCATGCAGATTAAACATTAATCCATTAATTAACATGTGTTCAAATTTAATTAATGTTGAAAGTTGAACATTGGAGATGCTCTTATAGTGATCTATGTAAATCTTTTTGCTATACGAATTTGAGTTATACTTGGGATAAATCTCTTGGACGGTTGGAATTCCACATTGAACTTTTTATGTTCATTAAATGACTGACTTTAATTATTTATTTTTCACTCACTAGATACTAGTTTTAAAAATATAAAATATATCATGAGCATCTATTCAAAATATAAGTTTTCTACATAATTTAATCCAACAATAATTACTTTTAAAATTATAAAATTCAATCAACACTCGAGAACTTTTTTTAATTAACTGATTTTCTAATATCCATTTTTCACTAAATTTTGATCACCAACATTTAGATGATGGTATTGCAGGGTGTGCAAACCCAATCCCACATCGAAAAATTAAAGGTTCCAAGTCCAATATATAAGCTTGGTGGGCTACTCCTTCTATTGCCAATTGATTTTAGAATAGAACCCCATTTGAGCTTGTATGTTGGGTTTGATGGAGAACTGAGTTTTGAGTTGTCGATCCTAACAATTTGTATCAGAGCGACGGTTAGTAGCCCAATTGCGACGTGGATGACGCGGCATGTTCCCATGGAGCCGGTGGACGGCTGGTGGATCCGTGTACTTTGTGTCGAAAGTCTTCCTGACGAAAGGGTGGTTAGGCAGCGGGTTCAGTAGGTGATAATGGTGGTACAAGATGGTCGGATCGTATGAATTTTGTTCAAGGAGAGGCCCAATGTGGTCTTGTGTTTGAGGGGAGGTTTGTAGTGTGTGCAAATCGGAAAATTAAAGGTTCCAAGTCCAATATATAAGTTTGGTGGGCTACTCCTTCCATTGCCAATTGGTTTTAGAATGGAACTCCATTTGGGCCTGATGGAGAACTGAGTTTTGAGTTGTCGGTCCCTCAATTGGTATAATAGCCACTGTTGGTAGCCCAATTGCGATGTGGATGACGTGGCATGTTCTCCGTGGAGCCGGTGGACGGCTGGTGGATCCGTGTGCCTTGTATCAAAAGTCTTCATAGCGAAAGGGTGGTTAGGCGGCTGGTCCCTTGGGTGATAACGGCGGACAAGATGTCGGATCTTATGAATTTCGTTCGAAGGGAGGCCCAATGTGGTCTTGTGTTTGAGGGGAGGTTTGTAGGGTGTGCAAACTCAATCCCACATCGAAAAATTAAGGGTTTCAAGTCCAATAGGTAAGTGTGGTGGGCTACTCCTTCTATTGTCAATTGGTTTTAGAATGGAACTCATTTGTGCTTGTATGTTGGGCTTGATGGAGAACTGGGTTTTGAATTGTCGGTCCTAACAGGTATTAAGTGGATGCTTTATTATATCT